AATTGAAGTACATTGAATAGCAAGTGATGATATTTGACAGTACACAACTCCATTCTGCATCTGTATCAATAGTAAGCTGTCAAACACCCGAAAATAGGATGACCCATCAAAAAGGGGAGTAATTTGCAGTCCACTGTACAGAGGCTTGGAGGAAGGGGAACCTCACTCCCTCCCACTGAACGCGTTAGCATCGACTTTTTGCAGCCACCGTTTGACTACAAAGTGGATCACAGAAGCAGATCGCGATCGACACGAAGATGGGACTAACGATAAGGCACAACAAATGAGTGAGGGAGAGGTAGGTTTGCGCTTGTGTGTGTGTGTGACTTATCTTCACGCCTGTAGGTATAACTAGAAGCACATGCCGAAAAAAAAACACATTTAAGCTTTACCCAAGCCTATTAAATGGGTCGACTTGGCGTCGATGGCAGGAGCACACAAGAGCGGATGTATTTAAGATGATGTTAGGTTGCGACCACACACCTTCTACTACTACTTCTCTTTTTCAGGGCAAATAAAGTTGAAGTTCACTTCCCCAACCTCGGAATTGCTAGTGATTATAACAAGAAAGCAACACATATAACGTCCTTCAAAATCACCACTTCGAAGTCCTCCATTGTGTAGTTTAGAATGCCAAGCAAGCAATGGTTCTGAGGAGATAAAGGTGATATCATGGACTATTAGGGAGGCAGTAAGTCCTCTCCCCTTCTCACAGTTGCAATCGAAAAGCAGAGAAGGGAGAAATCTCACACCCTGGATCAGGCACAGCGGGTGCCTCCAGACTCACCAAAAATGGTACTTCTTATGCCTCATGAATGTCAGCACAATGCCAAAATGACTAGCATGGGTGAAGCTGAAATTCAGACTTTTCGAGTAGATGTTGGAGGGACATGAGATTTATGAATTAGAGGATATCTAAATTCCCCTCTGTGCTGAAATGCTGACGCACTACGGCTTTAAAAACTGTACCACGGTAGAGGCACCATGCATACTAGATCTTAATCCCTCGATCGCCTTTTGGAATCACTCAAGGGAAAGCATCAAGCACTTACCTGATCCACACCTTCAGGGCGGCCATTTCGGTCAGGTAGGCGATTCTGCATAAGAAGAAGAGATTGTGGTCGCTCTCGACTCACAGACACCGGCCAAATGGGTTGTTCAGCTGCTACTATGTGTTGCGGCTGCTGATGCTGTGGTTTCTGTGGAATAGGAGGCGGTGGAGAAGGATGTGGTTGCAGTGCCTCCATTGCGACCTTGACCTTTAGACCGGAAACGAGAGGAGGTGGAGCAGCTGCAAGCGCCATCTCGCGCTCCTCTAGAGTGCGTTTGAGGTCAAGGAGGTCACGAGTGGAGGCAATAGAGAGGCATGGATTGGCAACGAAGTCGTGCTGTGATAGTTTTGACAAAAAAGAAAAATTACCTCAGACATGCATAACTTCACATCCCACATTCCGCTGCTTGAAATACCAAATAACTGGAACGAATCTGTTCTACTACATACGGAGATGCACAAAGGGAGAACAAATGATGAAGTGGAGGATGTATCCATTTCCTGACAAGCTTCCTCGTGTCCTAATTGGTGTGGGAAAAAAAAGTTGGACAAAGGAGAGGCGTTAGTACAGACTAGCCATGCTGGAACAGCCCAAAATGACTTACCAATCTTGATTAGTAACAATTTTCAAGTGTGTCATAACGACACTTTCATGCATGCTTTGGAATCTTCACACCTTACAACACCCTTGTTCAGACAAGCTTCAAGATTCTTTTCTGTCACAGAACGAACCACGACAGCAATAAAGGCCACATTTCTCTACCAACTGATGCTAAATTTTGGGAATGAATGACGCCTGAGAAGGAGGCAACAACAGCAATAAACAAAGTGCCACAACAGTATAGACTTGTTTTGACTAAATCCGCTAGTCTTGATACACTACATTCAGTCTTCTCGAGGAGGAGGCTGCTAGGAAAGGACATGAAGGTGCAGATGGAATGATGGATCAGGCCTCCAATTTCTCCAACATTTCAGACGCCAGTCATCTAAAATGTGTGCCCACGAGACTACCACTGTTTAGCGCTTGACTGTGGAGCAGGGAAGACAGGAAATGATAGGCAATTATTGCTTTATGAGTGCATCATGTGACTGGTATGTCACTGGCTTTTTGCAAACCAACAATAAAGGTTAAAGATCTTGTACACATGCGATGCTAAGGCGAAGGGAATATTATGGCATACGCTGCGCACTTCGGACAGATTTCAATCAGCACCACCAACAGGTGAGTGTAACAATTAAGACAAAGTCCACTTCCACATCGCTATGTATGAGTGAATTGGAGAATCCAAAGCCAAGATCAGCTATGTGATCAACGTGGAAAAGTCCAAATAGTCAGCTGGCGTGTGGCGGACGGCGAATGAGAGCCCAGAGGAGGAAAGCGATGATGTGGTGGAAGAAAGTGGCAGATAAATTCAACTCGAAGTCTGCAATGGCAAACCGTTGTTTCCATCGTCCGCTCATGGAGGAGACTAAATCCAACAACGCATTGTGGAGCGTAGAGGCAGTAACAATGAAAATGATGCTTATTTCTGGTTGACGATTTCAATCGTTTGAAACACAATGTGTATATG